CAGGTCCTCAACCTGGAGCACTCCATCCTTCCCCACCTAGATGCCCCGTGTGTCTCCTCTCAGCCGGTTCTTGCTGACATTCAGTAGACACATGGGGTCTCTCCGGTCTCTGACAACAGACCAGTCGCGCCTCCCTCTGCACAGTGACCTCTCCAGCGTGACCGGAGTCCAAGAGGGGTTGCTCTGAAGTTCATATTGTCAGCCGCCTGCCAGCCCTCCAGGATGGCTGCAGACATCAATCAGAGCCACAGAGTCACTCAAGGTTGCCACCCCTTGGGGAAGCCTCAGTGATTTCAGGGTTTCTGGCCTGGAGAGTTGGGCTCCCGTCCCGGGCTCTGCACAAAGTAGACCCTCATTAAATACACGCTGAATGAATGATGAGGCTCTGTGGGTCATCAAGAGCAGGAGCAGGGAGGCGATCAGGGGAGCAATAAAGATTTCAGAGCTTTATGTGTTGAGCCCGAGACGTGCCAGTGGCATCTAAAATATGAGCCTGTAGCCGGCTCTGCTGAACTGGAAGCTGTTGGTTATAGCCCAGCTCCAGGAGAGAATGGGCTCCCCAAGGACAGCATGGTCTTCGGTCAAAGTTTTGGTAAATAAACAAAATGCATTGTTTTGTGTTTTCATTTCTTTCCAGGACACAAAGGGCTGAGAACACCAGATGCCTGAGTTTTTTAAAGCTCTGCTCCAGACCTCCATGAGAGGAGGAGACTAAAGAAGGGCAGGGGGACCATCGTCAAATGACAGAGGCACTGTGTGGGAAGCGAGGTGCCTTCCCTCCCTGCTGCAGAGACAGCCCTAGGGCGGAAGGTAGAGGCCAGATCCCTCGGTGGAAGGGCAGACTTTCAGCCTGGCGTGGCAGTGCACACCTGTAATCCCAGGTACTCGGGAGGCTGAGAAAGCAGGTCACAAATTCAAGCCCAGGATGGGCCCTTAGCAAGGACCTGTCTCGAAAACCAGTAAAAAGGACTGGGGATGCAGCTCAGTGGTAGAGTGCTTGTGCAGCACGTGCAAGGCCCTGGGTTCAATCCCCAGTGTTGCAAAAAAAGAAGAGAATGGGGGCAGGGGCGGCGGGGCTGGGGCTCAGTGGTCCAGCTCCTGCCTCGCATGTGGGAGCACTAGATTCGTTCCTCGGCACCACATGAAAAAAGTTTTTAAAAGTTCCTAGCCTTTAGCTCAGTTGGTGGAGTGCTTGCCTCACACGCACAAAGCCCTGGGCTCAGTCCCCAGCACCACCAAAAAAAAAGAAAGAAAAAGAAAGAGTTCACAGCCTTTGAAGGAAGCTGGGGACAGGGGTGGTGCATTTTCTGAAGCCACTTTCTGCCAGTTGATGGGAGAACCTTCCCCAAGAGTCTGCTCCTTGTCAGGGGAACGCACACAGAGCCTCTCGGAGTCCTGCCCGGGGTACGGTGGTCCAAGACCCAGGTGTTGCCAATGTGATAGGATGGAGAGGGGGGTCCTTAAGAAGTGGCCGGGCCATGAGGGGTTTCCCCTTGTGGATGGGATAAGGCTCTTTTGAAGAGGCCCCCAGGCAGCGTTCAGTCTCTCCACCACCAGCCTTCCACCACCTGAAGACACAGCATCCAGGCACCAACTCGGAAGCAGAAGCAGCCCTCCCCGGATGCCTGAGCCCACTAGTGCCTTAATCTTGAACCTCCCAGCCTCCAGAACCACAAGAGATAAGTGTCTATTCTTTACCAATTACTCGGGTACTTTCGTCATAGCAGCACAGACAGATGGAGAGAGTAGAGAAACAGACCAGTGGCGCACGCCTGTGATCCCAGCAGCTCGGGAGGCGGAGGCAGGAGGATGCAAGTTCAAGGCCAGCCTCAACAAAAGCAAAGTGCTAAGCAACTCAGTGAGACCCTGTCTCTAAACAAAATACAAAATAGGGCTGGGGGTGTGGCTCAGTGGCCAAATGCCTCTGAATTCAATCCAGGTACCAAAAAAAAAAAAAAAAAAACAACTGTTCTAGAAGGTACTACCCCACCCCTAGCCTCAAGTATGTGCTGGACCAGGGCCTGGGGTCCATCTGGAGCTGGTTTGGGGGAGGAGGAGCCATGGTCATCTAGGCCCTACTAAAATAACAAGCAATTGTTGGGATGAGGAAAGTAGTGAGTCTATTCTTAGCAAAAGCCCCTGACATGACCCCCAGGAGGTGCATTAGCCGCCCACTGCCCTGGGCCAGCCTCACACAAGCACAGCTGGTCTTTTCTGGGGAAGGTGTTTCCAAGCACTCTGCTCTGAAGACCCTCTGTCACCCACACTCGGGACAGCTCTTTCCTCTACTCTCAGGAATTTCAGGTCCCCAAGAGCTGAGCAGCCAGACCTACACCAGGGAATCACAAAGTTGGTAGGACCTAGGACCCCTAATTAACAGACAGCAAAACCAGTCCCAAGACCAAAAGGCCAAGGAATGACAAAACTGGCTTTGGAAATGAGGTTCATCTATTTATTTGTTTATTTAGGCGCCGGGGGTAGAACCCAGGTCCCAGGCACGCTAGGCAAGTGCCCTGCCACTGAGCCAGGCTCCAACCCAGACCAGATGTCTTCAATCCAGCCCCCTTCCATTAAAAAATGTGCTACAAACACCTGCTCCTGGTCAGATACCGGGTCCCTGGAGATGATCAATGATCTCATCGCCGCTGCAGGGGGAGCGAGAAAGACACAACCCAAAACTACACTGTGGCCAGGTGGGTGCACAGAAGGAGCCAGATCTCCCTCCCGTCGGCACCCTGGGCCCGTTTCCTCCCCATCCGCCTCCAATGGGAAAGGGTGCAGCCAGATGCAGAGAGAAGTGACCAAGAAAGTAGAGACAGGGGAGCGGGTGACTTCCATCACCTGGGGTGGGTGCAGGTGGGATAAGAAGCTGGGTCCTAGGGGCTAAAACTGTGGGCACGGAGGAAGCCAGCCAGTTGGGAGGACAATTGTCACAGTGACCGTTCTGCTGGGCCGGCTGGCACACACGGTAAGGCCTTACTAGAAGGAGTGGGGCAGAGGTGACAGGATGGGGACAGAAGTTCCCATTTTGTGAAACCCCACTATCCACAGCTCCCAGCCCCGTTAGGAGTTCAGCAGAGTAGGTGAGGTGACTGTCCTACTCCAAGTGGGGGAAACTGAGGCCCAGAGAAGTTGTCACCAGCCCCAGGTCATTCAGTTAGCTTAAGTGTCTGAGTCAGGATTCAAAGCCACTTTGTTTCTTCAAATCATGAAAAGTGACCCAAGAAGCATCATGTGCTGCCTGTGGTTGGGGATGGAGCAGATCACCGTGAGCTAAGGGCTGGGCAGAGGTGCCCACTAGGGGCTGTCCTGCCAGCAACACGGTCCTGCCACCAGGGCAGAGCTGAGGTCCCACGGCAGCTGGGCCGGATCGAGTCTGCAGGCCCAGGAATAGGAGCAAGGACTCCAGGAGAATCCGAGGAAGGACCCGGCTCTGTCCTGCCCACTCCCTGAAGCAGGAGGAGGAAGCAGCCGGCCGACAGGACCCAGTGCGGAGTGGACGCCAGACATGCTCCTCTTCCCCCTCCCTGGAGCCGCGGTTGAACTGAGTCTGAGGATTTGCCTTTTCACTTTGTCCTCTGTGGCACCCTTCCACGAGAGCAGGGTGACATACAACAGCACAGACTCCCAGAGATGAGGTCTCCGGAGGCTGAGGGACCGTCTGGATCCCACAGCTGGTTCTGGGTGGGGAGCTGGCCTGGATCCTAGGTGGCCATCCTGCCCATCCTCTGGCTCCCTTCTGGAATCTACTGCACAGTGGTCTGGGTTAAGTCCACCCACTTGTCCAGTTTTGACTCCAGAAACAAAGCCCCTTGGGGTCTGGAATCCCACCCGCAGAGCACAGCTTCAGCCCAAGCACCTAAGACTCTCCGGAGGCTGAAGAGTGCAGCATCCAGAATCCCCTGGTCATCAACAGACAGGAGCCTGGCCAAGGAGACATGGAGTCAGAGCTTCTGCACCCCTTGTGGCCAGAGCAGCCCCGACACCCCGGGAGGAGCAGGTCAAGTCTTTAGGACCAGAGGTACCTCCTCTGCCTCTGTGCCACCGCTCCACCCCAAGACACGGGAACCACAGGACCCAGGTTTGCACAGTGTGGCCGAACAACGACACACGGCTTTCTCCCCACCCTCCTCAGTCCATCCTCAGAACGGCCCAGAGAGACTGGAATAAAACCCTCACGCGGGACAGACCAACCCCACCAGGTCACGGAGCTGGCAGGCGGCAGGCTGAGAGAAGAGGTCGTGGCAGAGACTCAACCCCAGTTTTTCCGACTCTGAGTTCTGGTCTTCATCCATCTCTCGCCTGCCGCCCAGATGTGAATCCATCTATGCTCCTCTGGCCAAAGGACCGGGAGGGTTTCCAGATTCACATCCACGTGAGAAAGAACATCTGGAGACTTGTGCCTGCCCGGGGTCCACAGCAGAGCAGATGGGCTTGCAGGGCGGGGTGGTGGGGATCCATTATCATGACAGGTTGCCTCGGGCCCTGTTCCCTCCTCCGACTCTCCCAACCCAGGTGGACTTCCCACGTCAGCCAAGTCAACATTTTTCTGGGTGCCACGTCATTCCGGGGCTGCAAGAAACAGGCCTGCTTGGCCACACTTCTGTCTGTCTGTCTGTCTGCCAGCCTGGTGTCTGCAGGGGAAGTGTCCATACATTTAGAATGAGTACAGAGCACACGGAGACCCATCTGCCTGGCTGAGGGTTTTCATTCAGAGGATCAAGCTCAGAAAAAAAAAAAACAGAAAAGGATCGGAAAGAAAAAGCAAGTCCTTCAGGATGCTCAGAGAAGGTCCGGAGCAGGGCGACCCCTGATTATGAAGCCATGTGTCTGCCCCGGAGGCCCCCAGATGAAGATAACATCGCATTGTCCAAAAACCATGGGGCTGCCTCACACTGCCCTCCCCCTCCAGGCTCCAAACCAGAAGAGGAGAGCTAAGGTCCTGGACATTACGTTGTAAAGGCACCCAGTGGCTCTGTGGCGGGAAGGCGGGCACCTACCTGGACTTCACGGGTGTGGTAGGCGATGATCAACCCCAGCAGGATGATGGTGGATAGACTGATAAGGCATTTCAGGGCCAACGAAAACATGGAGTCCTGCAGGAAAGATGGAAAGAGAATTAGGGAGGCCAGGAAAGGCGTCTCGCTTTAGTCTGAAGTGGTACAAAGCGGGGGGAGGGACCATCACCCATCCCTCCCGGGAGCAGGGTGGGCCACAAAGTTCGCCCTGAGCCACCAAAGAGCCTTGGACTGTGCCTGGACCTGAAGTCTCAGCAGCCGCCCAGCTGCGCCTCTGCCTCGGAGGGTGAAACCATATTTGCCTTCCCAGATGAACTCCACTCGGGCCTGGTGCATGATGCTTGCTACACATGGCTGCATTCTGTTTGCTGATGCAATTCAGAATAGCAATTCAGAATCTTTGCCTCATGCTCCTAAGTCCTACGAACGTGATCCTTTTTTGTGTGCTACTGTTATCTGGCGTGGGCATCGGTATCAGGCCGGTTCGGGTCTCCGTTTTCTCTTCACAAACTGAACTAGAGGATTGCTGAAGTCCTTTCCATCTCTGATAATGCACAGTTCTTTAAGGAATGAATTAAAATGTCCTGGCAAAGACTCCCGTCTCCTGGCTTGGGCCAAGGGCAGGGGAGGGAGGCAAGAGAAGCAGACGAACTGCCGGAGGGAGAAGTGGGGTGAGCATGGGAGCAGAGGTGGGTCTGAGGCAGGGGAAGGCCCTTGGGGGTCCCTCCTGCTAGGGCTGGGGAGGGGTGGCCACATGGCCTTTGATGCACCTTTCAGCAGCAGGGTGACCCAGAGAACCTGGGTCTTGGCTCAGGAGCATGATTTCCTGAGCCAATCTGCTGGGTCCAAATCCTAACATAGCCACTTGAAGCTGAGTGACCTCAGGCCACTTCTATACCTCTCTGCACCCAGTGGCATCATGTATAACATGAGCAAATATCATTTCCTACCTCACAGGGCCATTGGGGGGAAAGGGGCAAGTATACGGAGAGAACCCACAACCAAGCCTGGCTCGGTCAGTGCTGGCCACCATTTCTGTTTGTTGACTTTTTGTCCACAAACGAGCAGCTGGGTGAGGATTTGGTGCATTCCTGAGCATCGGGAGTCTGGAAGGACAGTTGGCTCCAAGTCCCAAAGGAAGACAGGAACACAGCCCTGAGCAAGAGTGGCGGTAGGTCCTGGCAGCATTTCCAAGTGCTCTCAGTCCTGAGAGGTGCATGCCACCTAGGAAGCGAACGGCCTCTGTCCTCGGGGACTGTGACTAGACCCAGTGCAGTCTCCACCACAGTTGACAAAGTGGTTTCACCTGTGCATCCTCACAATAGCCTACGGCCTTCATTACAGGTGGAGGCCCACAGGGGTGAGTGACCCTGCGCCAGAGTTCAAAATCAGGACCTTGACCTCCAGGCACCATTCCCCCTCTTCACCAGGAAACAGGAGAAACTGTGACACATTCTTTAAGCAGCTTAAGACTACAAGGGACCACATCGTGGCGAGATAGGAGTCCTCGGTTCTGGTTTTCTGTAGCACAGCAGGGCAACCATGATTATAGCCATCTAGGATGTATTTCAAAATTAGTAGAAGAGTATAAAATTCAGCCATAGAAATCGTAATGTTTAAGGAGAAGGAAATGCTCGTTACCCTGATTTGATCATGACACACTGAGTATTCGTGTTGATGTCCTACCATACTCTGTAGACATGTGTAGATCTGTCTCCGTGGAAGGTGTTTTGAAGATAGATGTGATTCACTGCCAAGTAGGATCTAGAGAATCGCTAGGAGAGGTCAAGCAAGCGCAATGTCACTGTGGACAGGTCAGAGAAGCATTCAAAGGCGGCTGTGACAGTGGGCATGGTGACACAGGCCGAAATCCCAGTGACCAGGGAGTGTGAGGCAGGAGGATCACAAGTTCAAGGCCAGCCTGGGCAATTTAGCAAGTCCCTGTCTCAAAATAAATAATGAAAATGGAATCGTAGAGCACCCTGGGTTCAATCCCCAGACCCCCCCACACACACACACACACAAGCACACACTCGACGGAGATCTGCAGGATTAGGTAGCATTGTCCCATACAGCAGCCACTGGTGTAAGAGGAGGGCTTGGGACTTGGACCTAGCACTCCCAGATGCCCACGTCTGCGCTCTCAACCCATCCTCTGTGGGCTGAGACGGTGAAAGCGGCCCTCACTGGTCTCTGTCAATCTCACCATTTATTTCTTAGATTCGGGGTCAAGGCCCACTTGATAGCTAGAACCCATGAAGTGACCTTCTTGCTCATCTGTTCACTCTTACAACGATTTCAGCCACTTTTCAATGGTTGAGCACCGTCTACGTACCCAACAGTGTACTTCACGCTGTAGGATGTGCCAGAAGTTTCTCGTCTTGCTTATATACAGACTCCAACTTTCTACCCTGCATGGGGCTGTTCAGCTGTGGGGAAGGTCCCCAGTCTGCACCGTGGTGCAGAAGATGGTCTAGGGCGGGGGGGTGCAGCACAGAGGGAGAGCACATGCCTAGCAAGCTGGGGGCCCTGGGTTGGATCCCCAGCACTGCAAATGATCAAACGTGAAAACGAAAACACAACAAAAAGATTTTCTAAACAGAGTCCAGTTTTCCTTTAGCCTCTTCCGTGTGCTACGGTCTGATGAAGAGCAGCTTGCTGTCACTTCCTGAGCACATGTGTCTCAAGGGGCGCAGGTGCTCCGCTGGCACAATGTGAACACACATCATCAGAACCCAGTTCTGCCTTGGAGAAGGTTCTCATCTCTAGAAGCCCAACTTGATGCTGGAAGTACCCCCTTCCACCCCCAGATAGAGCTGGGGCTCTAGAGAGCAGGAGATGAGTTCAGAGATGCTTGGACTCTGTGACCACAAACCTCCCTGCAGGAACGGCCTGGGGAGAGCTCACGCCGGCTTCCGGCCAGAAATGGACCATCCCCTTCATCTCAAAAGGGTCTGAACGCATCTGGGGAGCATCACGCCTACCCCAGGAAAAGTTTGGGATCAGCTGCACGTCCCCGCCTCTAATTTATTTCTGTTGGCAGAAATGAACTGGAATCAGAATCCAAGTCTATTCCCATCATTTTTAGAGGAAGAGGTGAAGGGAAAAGGGCCAGATACCGTCTCCTCTCCTTCAAGCCTCTTCCATGTGTCCTAAAACTGGAAGGCTTTCCATTAAAAGGCAAAACTCCATCTGCTTCTTGGTTTTAGCCGGTGCCGCCTCCCGGGCCGGCTCCATCTTTGCAGGGACCAAGCTGTGAAATGGATCAATGGAGATGCTTGAGACTTTGCAGATCTCCTTGCATTCCTCATCACACGTCAATAAAAAAAAAAAAAAAAAAAAAAAATTTAAAAAAAGCCCTCCCCCTTTTGTCATATCGAGAAAACATGGCGAAGTAGTCTGGCTGGACCAGAAACGTTTTTTTATTTGCTAAGATGTTCAATTATCATCTTTGCCGCCTGAACTCCAGTGAAGCCTAAAATTGATAGGGTTCTTTGGGCGATAGTAGCCGCACAGGCCTTGCTAATTAGCTGCCGTGCACCACATGGTGGGGCGCCGGCCACACCTGCTGGGCCCCCGACTCTCTCCTTTAAGGACTGAAAAGAGACTCATGATTCCGGGAGGGAGTCCTGTAGCCAGCTGGTCAACCTCTCTCCCCTGTGACTCAGCTCTTTTCCCTGACAATGACAATCCCTCACACTCGAGGATGCATAGGAACTGTGTCCCGTCTGATGAAAGTCATCATTTAAAGCCATGGATTCCTAAAGGCCCACGAATATTCAGGCGGTTCATTCCATCTCCGCGCAGACAGTGATGAACACTCTACAGTCACTAGAAGACACTTCCATAGAAGATGTTTGAGCCAGACGCGGTGGCACACACCTGTAATCCCAGAGGCTCGGGAGGCTGAGGCAGGAGGACTGAAAGTTCACAGCCAGCCTCGGCAACTTAGTGAGGCCCTAAGCAACGTAATGAGACCCTGTTAATCAATAAAAAAGGGACTGGGGATGTGGCAAGTGCTCTCCGTGCCTTGAGTGACTGTAGGAGTGCCCGGGAGCCCATCCTGGGGTGGGGATAGAGGAAGAGAGACTGCGGATTCCTAAACGCCACTCATTTACTGGATGCCCTCTCCGGGCTCTAACAGTGACTGTTCTCAACTCTCAGCGGGAGATTATAGGACCCTGCCAAGTGGAGCCAGGGGCCCCTGGTAGCCCTGGGGCTGAACTGAGGGTTTCCTATCCACCTCAGGTGACTCCGTGGCTTCACAGCGTGACCACGACGTCACACCACGCAACCTCCCTAACCTGTCTGATGCTCTGGGTACGAGAAGAAAGTGCTTCTTGGAGGCACTTAGTAACAGAACTTTTATTTTTACCTAACATTGATTGAGAGCTTCCGGAATAGGCGCTTTACACCCTGACCTGAAATCTTCCTTCTGTGTGCTAAGTTATAATGCAAAAACACAGGGTTGGAGAATTGAAATGACTTTTCCAAGGTCACAAAACTAACCCAGATTTTAGCCATAGGCCAGATTTTTCTACATAACGTGCTTCAGGCTGCCAGGCCCGGTGGTACCCGCCTGTCATCCCAGTGACTCTGGAGGCCGAGAAAGAAGGATGGTGAGTTGAGGCCAGCCTCTGCAACTTAGTGAGGCCCTAAGCAACTTAGCAAGACCCTGTCTCTAAAGTGAAGATGTTTTATAGAGGGCTGGGGATGTGGCTCAGTTGTTAAGCATCCCTGGGTTCGATCCCTGGTACCAAAAATAAAAAGAAAAGAAAGATGTCCTAGGTTTTTTATGAGACAATGTGTTCCTGTCATCCCAGAGGGGTCTGGCTCCACCCCCGGGCACTCCAGAGGAAGCTCCTGGCAGGTCGGGAGGTCAAGCCTCGTTCCTGGGAGATGCCCCCCATCCACGTGGTCCCTGTTCTGCTCCAGACCATGAGCCAGGGCTCTGCAGATCTGTGACTTCTCGACGATGACAATAATCTATAATCAAGGAGTGTGACCGAGGCCTACCATGCAAAGTGGGCATCATCCGCCCATTTTACAGAGGAGGAAACGGAGGCTCCAAGAGGTTA